ATTAACAATGTACAGAGAAGAAATGTACCCAGAGAAAATTTATTAAAGGGCTCATCAAAAGACAAATACACAGGATTCTAAAATGCTGCACACTTCCATTTACAACATTCAAACAGCAATCCTTTAGACATGCGTTACACGTACTCAATCATTTTCCTTTTAAGAGTTCTTCCTCCACCGCATCACTGACACAGCTTTACCTACAATACCCAGTCATTAAGTCTAGATGGCCTATAATGTAATCAACAAAGAAACACTTTTCATTCAAGGAAAAAAAAAAGTAGATGAATCTTCCTTTTAACTTCCATGCACTGTTACTAATCTTTTACTTCAAAGACGTCTTTAATCTTGTGGCTGTGGTCTGTTGTCAAAGATCAAGGAGGAAGGAAAGTAGACTGAAGAAAAAAGCGATGAGAAAATTAGTAAAAGAACCACGCTGTAGGACCTGTGTAACCAAGTCTGGTGACCAGCTTTCAGGGTTTAGCATGGAAGGTGCTTATTAGGAAATGCTTCTTAAATCAAGAGCTGGGAGAGAGAGGGGCCAGGTAGCAGGACTCAGCAGAGGTGAGCTGCTGTTGTGGAGGAGGGCAGCCCCAGCCAATCTGCCACAGCAGTCCTGGAGACACAACAGCCATTAGAAGCTGTCTCTGGTATGCCAACATGATCAGACTTCGATCTCCTCTTCCCCATATCAACAGCTTGCTGAATGTGAGTGCTGAGGTGAATCAGAGTACGGCTGCCTAGCTTACACACATCACACACGCAGCTATCAGGTCCTCTGCTGAAGTGGAAACTCAGTCAACTACAAATCTGAGTGTATTGATTGTTCTCTTTCTCGCTGTTTCCAATAGCAATTTAAGCTATGATACCTATTTTGCAAAGAATCACCCAGGAAATACTTAATTGCATCATGAAATTTTAATAAATGGGATAAATCAAGCCAGTTTTTTACAGAGAAGCCAGAATCGTTAAACCTACCAACTAAATTATGAGTTCTCTATTACAGTCCAAGTTTTAGACATTCCAACTTTGCTGTCTTATCTGTGTTCCATAGCATATTCTGCTCCTTCCATACCACAAAGACAGTATATGGAAGGAAGTCTTTTTCCCCCTCTACATCTTCATTGAATCGTAATAGAAAAAAAATAATAAATTGACAGTGGTCAGGGCTGGACTACTAGGTATGTACTTTATTTAACAAGCTGGCAAACCCCCTCTCCAATGCTCTGATTCTTCATTTTAAAATTTACTCAAGTGGTTAAATACAGAATAAAAACTGTTTGCTCACATGCTTAAGAATTACTTTTCTATCTGTTTCTCCTACTCATCTCCGCTACACTGTGTTCTCTGATCCAGAGACTTGCCACACTGTTTTCCACCAGTCTCCTTCACCTTGAACACTGCCTGAGATCATCACCCAGCTCAGTTCTTATTCTCCACAGAAAGTCAGCACTAAAGCTGAATTCACAGAGAGCCACACAGTCGACAGCAATCCTGCCCTGCCTAAGGCAAATCTGTTTTATATTAACCTACTTTATTATCTGTTAACAAAATGACCTTGGATCATCTTGTTTATTATTTAGGAAATAATGTTTGCCCATTATTTCCTATGGTATCCACTGCACACAGATTGGTGACTGACAGTCAAATAATTATTCATATGAAAGGATGAAACACAGAATGAATGAATCAATGAGTGGTCATAAATCATATCAAAAATAAAGCAAATGTAAAATTATTTATCTGGATAAATCCAGTTCGAGGGCTGAAGAGACAGCTCGGTGGTTAAGAGCTCTGACTGCTCTTCCAGAGGACCCAGGTTCAGTTCCCAGCTTCCATTTGGCAGCACGCAGCTGTCTGTAATTTCAAGATCTGACACCCTCACAGAGAAATATATGCAGGCAAAAGAGCAATGAACATGAAGTAAAACTTAATAAATTATATCTTTTTTGGTTTTTAGAGATAGGGTTTCTCTGAAAAATTAATAAATTATTTTTATGAATCCAATTCTATACTTTGGAATGAAAAACTGGACTAGCTCTTCTGCATCTATATATCTGAGCTTTCTATACGGGTGCGAGGACAATGAAATGAGCATGACCCTATCACAAGAGTAATATATGTGAGAGGTAACGAAAGAAGATGACTGGGTAAGACACACCCATACTCTGACTAGTAAAACACCATGGAAAAAATATGTTGAGAATTACTGGAGAGGAACTTCTCAATTTCATATTTAAAACAAGCCTGTGATAAAGTACGTAAAAAAAGACACAAACAAGGCATAAATAAATCAGGTATCCTTACAAAATACATTGTGTAAAACTTTTATAGTATCTGGCTAGATTTTTGTGCTAGGCATACACGCTGTCCCAGAAGAGTCACTGGGCTCAGGAACTGCAGTTCTGGCAGGACGAAATGAACATCTTCCCGATGCTGGCCGATTCCCACTCCCATGCAGACGACTTCGGTCATCTGAACTTGTGATGATATATTAGATACACACTATTGGCATTAGACAAGGCACTCAACACTTTTTTTCAACACCATCTATTTCAAATTTTAAAAAAAAAGTACTACACATATTCTTTGTATTAGGAAAAATGTTTTATTTATCTAAAATTATTCTAAGGGTTCTTTGAACTCTATAGTTACTCAAGAAAACTGGATTTTTGGTGGGAATATACCATCTTTACTCTGATACTTCATTTTTCAGTGACTCTAACTCAGTCTTCTTTCGGATACTGTCTTTTCAAATAATGAATAATTGCTAGGTACAGAAAAACCCGGTAAAAGAAAGAGTTTCTTCCATAGGACAGAGATGTAGTAAACACTGGGTCTAACATCAGGATCAAAAGAGAACAAGTAGGCAAGGCTTTGAATATCTAAGGAAATACTTCAAAAACGGATATCCTTCATATCATGGGGGCGGTGGCAGACACAGCTAAATCCTCGAACTATTTTCAAATGCATCTGACAGGATAACTGTTGCATAATAACAAATCCCTAACTGAAATTTATATTAGTTCCTCAACTTATCCACAATACTTCTAGTCTATATTGACACAGAAGTAGGGAACACTGGGAAAAGTAAAAATTGATCTTTGAATGTAGGCCAGAACCCCAGTAATCACTGTTTTACAAAGAAGGACTCTTGACTTTATCACAGGGAAATGGATTATATATTGTTCACATAAGATGCTGCCTTAAATAACTAACAACTCTGGAGGACAAAAGAGAAGGCTGGGTTTTTGCCCTGTGTTACTTTCACATTTTGGTAACTTGATGAATTGAAAAGTTCTCCAAATGAAAAGACAAGGGAGTTACTCATCCTACTAAAGTAACATTTTAACAAGCCCTGGACAGCAGGTCACTAGCCTCAAAGAAACAAGTACAGAAGCAAGGTACAGACAACTTTATTACAATTCTTTCCAAACTTCAAAATGCATTTATCACTGAAGTTAGACCTACTATATAATATATTATATTACAAGGCAAAAAGCATTTATAATCAGATACTTCATTTCCCTGTACTGCCCAAAATATAGCTTTGTAAGAATAGCAGCAACACACAGTAGTTTAAAACACTAAAATATTTTTCCAAATCAGGAACATTTAAATTGAAACTTATTTTATGCCATTTTCCTCCAACATAAAGAAAAAGCAAAGCTATCTTCTACATGTCTTCCTGTTGACAACTAGAATTTGGATATTCCATGAAAACACCACCAGCTTACATACACTTCCTCAGTAGATGACAGAATCTTTAAAATCAACTGAAGTAAAACAATACTATGTTTCCCCACTGCAAGCAAAGGCAAAATATCTTTTTTTGTAGTCACGTGAACTAGGCTTTTAAAGACACCCAAATCCACAATGAGCTTTAATAGTCTTCTCTGCTCAATCTGCCTCCTCATATTTGCTCTCTTAGAATTTACAATCAGCTGTGAACATCCCCTAATGATAAACTTGCAAGTAAACTTGGGAAATATCACAGCATAAGGGAATCACTTTCCTAATTAGACAAGGACATTGTTTGTTCATCCACCTCTGCTTCAATCGACAAACCAGATGAACCTTACAAAAGGACTTCCTACTCCACACTTCCTTCCCAAACAGCGAAAATAAGTGTAAATATACTGAAAGGGTCTGGTCACTTCCTTTTCTTTCTTTGGTTTTGCATGTGTAAGCTACCAGTTAGGACAAAACATGTTCGTTCTTCTTGTTTTCACAATTGGAAACTGTTAGGATAGTATAGAAACGTTCTAGTTTTCGCGAGACAAACGTGAAGCAGATTCTGCTACGAACTGGAGAAAGAGAAGGCGAGTGAGTGAAAGGCATGGCTGGCTGCTCGGTGGGGAAGCAAGGCTCATAATCACTGAACGTTAAGAGCACGTGCTGAGACTTCATGGTGCCAGTCACGTAATTTTGTGTATTTGGGACTAAAAACGTGAAGGGGTATCTTTTCCCTGTGGAAATAAAAGAGAGTGACAGAAGAGTCATAAAAGGTGAAAGGAAGAGAGTCTATACTAATTCCAACATGCAGAAAACATGCCTTGTAAAAGCTGGATTTCAGACAGCTGTTTTGTTAAAAATAGCAGCATTCAAAAGCATAGAGTTTTTGGAAATACAGAATTAGTCTACAGAGTCCTCTTGGAAAATTTTTTTTTAAGCACCAAATAAAGGGAGTTCAAGACAACACAGGAAACCCATTCACTGAAATTTGTACTGTTAGTGAGACATTCCCCAAATACGCTGTACCCATTCATTATGTCAATATTAAAGAGAATATGTTTTAGACAAAAAAATCCAGACAGTATCAACTAATTTGGAAATCTGTAGGTTGCATGTTTAGGTCACACTAAAGGCACCATGGGTTACATGCTTAGTTTCTATTTACTAAAACAACAAAGCTGTAACATTGTACTTGAAAGTTTGAAAACAACAAATTAAGACCATTCATGAAAAGAAAGCATTCAATTCATTGAAAGAGAACTTACTTTGCCTTCTTTGTATTATCATTTTCAGATTCTTTCACTGCAATGTAAATAAAATACAAAATAAACTTTTAAGTTTTTTTTTTAACTTTAAAATCACTCACATAACTATCTGTGTGAATTAAGGTCAGATGTTGAAACTACACAGAGCAATTAAAATAAATCCATAACATGTTTACACTGGCTATATACCAAGGCTAGTACGCCCTCCCCCTTCTCAATGCAACTCCCTGAACTGAAATCTTGCTATATACAACATAACTTACATGCAATCTTTACCAGGACTGTTTGTCTGCAACTGCTGATAAGCCTAGATGTTCCTATCAGAGCCAAAAACATTCCTCGCCTAAGACCTCTCAAAGTTCACTCACGATGCTCAGTCCCAGTGATCTGGGCAAGGATCCGGAAGGAACGAGACTGGGTGGTTCCAGTCCGCGGGCGCCAGTCTTCAGTGTCCTCAATCAGCCTCTTCTTGCTGGCATCACTGTGGGTAGGGATGTGATAAAACTCCGTGTTGCGCTCCACAATGTGTTTTCTTGGCGGGCTAGAAAAAAGGAAAAAATAATAGTTACAATTTAAACTACACTGATAATAAAAATAGTCTCTGATGAACTATTTATAATTTACACATTTACTTCTCAATATTCCTTTTATGTAAATATACTAAATTAAAATACCCTTCTAAAAAGACATAGTAGTAAAATAATTTTATAGGTTAGTATAAACAACGATAAATGTATAAACAATAAACAACTGAACAGCAAGATTACCGTTTTGGTGGAATTTTCCTTTTAAGTGACAGAAGGAGGCAGCAGAAGAAAGATTCCCAACATGAAGAAAACGAAAGAAGAAGGATAAGGAAAGCAGACAATGAAAGTTTACAGCAGTAAAAATCCAATGACTTGAAATTACTGCGCCATATAAGACAATATGAACTATGACTTAGCCGGTTAAAGATCCTAGAATTTATCCTAGAATTCTTCAAAGGATTGGTTTTTACATCTTAAGTAGAAATTGTAAAAGTTTTGGAAATTTTGAAAAGGACCCTAACAACTTTCTCAATCGTGTTTATAGCATTTTTACTCTTAAACAAAGTGTACTCCAAATGAACACAGTGAAGATCTGTGGTTTCTTTAAGAGACCAAGGTTGAGACCCTGACTCTAGAATTCTTCAAAAGTGTGATTTTGGACAATCTCACTGAGCCTCAGTGTTTTCATTAACAAAGAAAACACAAAGTAGTGTTCTGAGAATTAAGGTTGATAATATGTGCCAAAGACAGAAATACTAAGATATCCAAATAATGAGTTTGCCAAGAACATTCATACTTTATAGCATAAATGTTAAGGAAATCAAAATATTCATTATCATTTCAGGATAGACCGAACACGATAAATACTTTCGACTTCTCCTGAAATAAGACAAATGAAATATTTCAGAAAATAAACAGGAGCTCAGGCCTTAGCTGGCAGAATGCTGTCCTGCGATCTGAGTAGAGCAAATGTTCTAAATGAGGCCAGATGTGGATGTAAGACCTGCTAGGTTAACATAGCACAGACAACCACCGTGCCATAGGACTGCAGCATCCTAGCAGGCACACCATCAGAGAACCACTCAGCACCGGAGCTCTTCTTACTTAGTGCCACTGGCTTTGGAGTCACGTGGACAGTCTGAAGGGCCTTGTCCCCCACTTCATGTGTTTTACAGAAGTAACCTAACTGCTCTACATCTCAGATCCTCCATTTGAAAAACTTGAGTCTTAAAGGTGGTTCTGAGGAATGAATAAGGGGGATGATGTATGCGAACAGCTTTCCACAGGTCAGGACTCACAGAAGTCATCACACTGCTCTCTCAGAGACTAGGAAATTAACTGCAATGCATGAGGCTGTATGTCACACACACACACACACATATATATATATATACAAGAATCAGTATGTGTGCAGCGAAACAGCAAGACACATAATTTACAGTGATATTTCATGATTATGGAAGTGAACTACCTAATCGACATTTATGAATACCGAGCAATATCTAACCCGTTTAAGAACAGACAAAAATTCCAAAAACTAGAAAAAAAACAGAAGTTATTTATAAAAATATAGCCTTTGGCATATATAAAACAGCTCTTAATTTTAAATAAGTACTTGAAAAAATTTGTAGCAGCTAACAAACTTATTACGCTTTAAGCTTCCCTTTAATTAGTCAGTAAGCACTGCTTATTAAGTTATTACCAATTACTAGTGTTATTAGGTTCTCACGCAGTCCAGGCTGATCTGAAAACCTGGTAGGTGGCTCAAACTGGCCTTTAACGTCTGATCCTCCGTTTCCATCTCCCCGGCACTACTAGAACTACAAGGTGTGCAGTCACACTCAGCTTAGGCAGTGATGGGGACCGAACACTGATTTGGTTTAGCCTCTGTGCAGGTTTCATCTATGAGATCATAAAACAATGGCTTCAAGCTAAGAATAATAATACAACACTATGGAGTAGTTAACATGACGTGTTTATAGAAAATATAGTACATCTTAGACCTTACGGCATTTGCTACCACAGATTCAAATTCTCAGATTAAATAACAGGATTTTTCCAAACATTTATGAAGTGCTTCCTCATTGTGAAAATTTGAATATGATGACTGTGTTAAAAAATATCAATGAATTTTAAGGATTTTAAAAATCTTTGAAAATAGAATAAATTTAACTCAGAAGAGTAAGTAATGTACTTCAAAATACAGACATTCAAAATTATGAAGCTCACCCACACTTATTTTTTAAAACAATACTAAAAAAGGGGATACCTAAATTATATCTCTAACTCTAGTAAATGATGATTGTAACAGTACCCACGCCCCTAAAGTTAGCTTTACTAAAGTTTTCTACTGTAGAGATGTGGGCATTCCAAACATACCCACTGATTATTCATATGAAGATTTCTAATGTAAAAAGCCCGTTTTTAAAATGTTCCTTAATATATTTGATAATTATTGTAGTGAAACAATACTAAGATTTGCTGGGGTGAAAACTGAAAAGTTAGAGACAGAATGATAGAAATTACAAGACAAACCATTAGTTTAGTACTTACACAGTGCCAGGGTTACTGAAGGAGAAATAATTCACACAGGAAAGATATGATAGAGGAGACATGGAAGTTCCCAGGATGATGGAAAACAGAGACAGCAGAGAGGGGGAGCAAAAAAGGAGGAGAAGAAGGATTAAAAATGAAAAGAAAGAAACAGAGAATCCAAAGCAATTTACAAGAAGGCACATGAGCACCATGCTTCAAACCAATCCCAGGAACACAGAGAAGTAGGCGGGTGTTAGACAAATCTCTGCTGCATCGCTAATGTGAGACCAGCAGCTTAACAGCCGTGTTTATCCCGCAAAACACTGACAACGACTTTATATATTAATGCTAGTCCTAAGTTCCTGAACACCAAAAAAAGAACCATGTATCCTTTTAATGTCTAGGTTTTTTTTAAAAAAAATTATTTTAGTATGAATCAAACTCTTATTTCCCTATAAGAGGACATGATAAAGTAGAATCTTATATATCACTTAGAAATCGTTTAGAATGTATTTTAAAATCAGAAAAGAAACTGTTCAGTTATCATATTATATTAATATATTAAAAGCAACTATATAATCTCTTCCCATAATTCATTAAATAAGAAAGTGTTACACTGAATTTTCTTCTTAAAATGTAGTGTTTGTTGCAAGGGTAGAAAGCACAGCAGACTGGGAACAGTGAGCTCTCTATGAATGCTCACATTCCTCCCTTCTGCCCATGACCACCACCGTCATTCATAAGGCCAGGAACCTTAGAAGCAGTATGTGGGAACTACATAGTTCTGTATTGTTGGGGATATAATTACTGCTCAGAAAGGTCTATCTGATTTGATATGGTAAAAAAGAACTCATTGAGTAATACCTGAAGAAAGTGAACTTCAAGACACAATTCATTCACACAGCCTAACATGAGCAGAATTATTAAAAAAAAATATCTGTATTCCATTACAGATAGAGAACCAAGTATAAATGCTATATTGCTTTATAAAAGAACATGCTGTTGGTTCTTCGACTCTGCAATTAAACCTAGAGTAGAAATTCATTACAAACAAAGTGAGAAAAACTGCCTAGCAGCTTTAACGTTAAAACTGAATAGAGTTGTGGTACTTTACACGTTGACATCAACATAACACAACGGAGGGCTCAGCTCCACTGAGTGAGGCTGGACACAACAATGAGGGGTTCATCTGTATTGACTCTCCTCACAGCAGAAGCAGTGGTTCTCAACCCTTCCTAGTGCTGTGACCTTTAAAAACAGTGCCTCATGTTGTGGTGACCCCACACAATAAAATTATTTTTGTTGCCATTTTATAGCTGTAATTTTGCTACTTTTATGAATCATAAAGTAAATATTTGTGTTTCCCAATGATCTTAGGAAAAGGTCCTATGACCTGTGAGTTATTAGACCACTAGGTTGAGAAACATTGGCATAAAGCATTTTCTATCCCACTATGCAGGAATATTGCTTTACAACTTAATTTCTTATATACAATTGTAGATGTAATCCAATAGTGTAAAATTGAGGGAAAATATTTGTGTTAACATGAAATTGTGGAGGCAATGTTCTGGGTTGAATGGCATAAGTAGATAGTTGATTTCAACCTAAGGAAATCATTTGAATATAATCAAAAAATATTTTCATATATTTTAGAAAATAATGCTCAAATAGATAAGCTTCATATGTAGCAATGTCACCTTGACAGCCAGATAGCCTGTACTAGCTAAGATGTACATTTCCCATGCCATGGGCAAAGTACATCTCCAAGAGGCTCATATTCTTCAACGGTAAAATGGGTTGCTCATTTCTGTCCTTTAGAATTCTTACAAGGGCTTATATGTAAAAGTATTTGAAAGCTATTCAAATACTAGTTTGTAGGGTCAAACAGTTCATACTACTCAAGAATAGTGCTTTCCAAGTGCAGCCTATGTATATTAATCACTTGAAGAGTCACAACTTTGAGTCTATAGTCTCTATAAACAGACACCAAATAAAAATGATAGGAAGATATCCAAGAGACAACAGGTGACATAATGAAAGGCACATCCAAATTTGGATCAGGATCAAATCTTAGCTCCCATACCAGAAGCTTGACAAGAAAATATATAGCTGCTCACTCAGCTGGATGAGAACTGGGTTACTGTCATACATTTAGAAACACAAATACCCAGTAACTAAATGGATCTGAATTTTGAGCTTTGAAACTATCTACTTAATAAAAATGTTTCAACTGTTTGGTTTTGTTTTTTTTTTTTTTTTAATTTCAAGTGGCATGTTTTCCTTTTTTCAAACAAGTTATGCGCTACACTAGAACCTACTATCTGGCCAGTTTTTATATGCAATAAGTTAATTTTAAATAGACAATAACTACGGTGTCTGCATGTTTTACTAATATGTTTGGGTCAATCAACAGATTGCAGTGAATCAGAAGGGTGTTCTAACAACTCAACAGCTAACTCTCTTGAATATGTCCGAAGCAGATATTCCCTATTTCCAAAGAGACTTCACTGTGGTGTGCAGCTAAAAAACAAAACAAAACAAAAAAACCTTCTGTACATGTTCAGAATAATCACAGCTCAATTAATAAGAAAAATTGCTAAATTATTGCTAGAATGAGCTTTTAATCTTGTCGTAAAGATCATCATTACTAGTAAGTTTAATGTCGGTATGAATAAAAAAAAAACACCAGGTTTTCAACATCTATGTCTACTAAGTGATCCACTTAATAAATTGGTAACTATATCTGTTGAGTAATTTTAAAATATACGGACTTTTCAATATTCACAGAGAAACAAGCACACTACACAAAGACATCTAAATCTGCTAGTAGTATTATCTGAAATAATTCTCCAGGAAATCATATGGGTATTAGGTAATTTAATTTAGGAAATACTGACTTTTAATGTCAATTAGAAATAATTCAGTTTTGTATGTATTTTTTACTACTGGTACAAGTTTTTATGGTTTCTCATCTTTGTCTTGTAACACTCTTAACTAATGAGAATTAAATCCCCCAAGCATTTCCTTTCAGCCACTGCACAGAAAACCCCACACATCTTTTGATATAACTTAATTAATACTACTTACTAATATAAAGCACTACAACATACCAATGCAAACCAAGCTTATTGAAAACATTTTTAAGTTACAAGTCTTTTGCAAAATTTAATTTAATTTTGCAAAAACTGAGCAGTCATGCTGTTTACTCATATATAAATCGCCATATTTCCTCTCCAGTAATGCAGATACTAACTTTGTCACGTGTGTCTTCTGTGAAGAGAAAAGGATTTTAAACCATTACTTGATTATATCCTTAACTTTCTAATCTTTCAAGGCCAGATTCTTCAAAACACTACATAACACCCTGTTAGTAGTTGCAGCCAAGAAAGCTGAAATATCGGCTACATGAAACACTTACCTCCGGAGAGCAGTGGCACATTATAATGCAGGGCATGTGGACAGTGGAATGCAAATCAGTTCATCTATTTCATGTAAAAGAGTTTGTCTCCAGTCAGGAATAAAAAGCCTTGCTCTGTTCTTCATGGAGTAAGGAGGTACCAGAGAGAGCGGCATGCCAAGAACAATAATTTATATACAGAAGAGAGACTGAAATTTCTTAAAGGTGCCTTAATCACTACAAGTCACAAAAAAAGAATACTTACATAATGTTAAGTTACTTTCAGAACTACCAATACACTAGCCAAACTTCCTACAATGCGGGAAATAGCTAGTTTACATCTTATTACTGACACCCAATAAACACTTGTTTGTGTCTCCTGTTTACTGATTCAGTACAAATTTGAACGGGATACCTACAAAACTGGCTAATTAGCCAACCACTTCAAATCACTGAAAAGCTAACAGTCCTGGTGTTTGGAGGAAAAGACAACTCAGCCATTTACTTTTGTATCCTTTTGAACTTTAATCCTTTGGTCATTGGTGGGTGTTATTTTAAAAGCAATTAATAAAGAGCAATCACCCTCAACTTTATGAGAGTTTTGTTTTACTGACATCATAAAAATCTGAGAAGCCAAGCAGTCAGAAATCTGACAGGTTGACACCTAACAAGGAGAAAGTGTACAACAGTGCTACAAAACACTAACCCCAAGGAAGGTCCATGGCTGAAGGATGTGACTTTTTACTCCTCCAGTTTGAATGTGTTACAGAAAGAGTACTACAGATTGGCCTTAGAATTTAACAGGCACCAAACTGTGTTCTTACTGTCCTAACATCTGGACAGCATTTGACATCCTGCTATTTTTAAACACTTTCAGTTTGCAAATGCAAAGCAGTAGCTTGCTTGTTAATGATGCAAAACATGTAATAATCCCTTTTATCCTCAATTTTGCACTGTGGTGAGCACAAGGCATGTGCTTGGTGAACACTTGCCGACTCATTAGGAAGCTGTCACTAAGGCCCTGAAACAGCGGCACTGTCATTTTGGCCTGAAATAAGCTCTAAATCATTTCAAGCCTAATTACTAACGGAGTGTTTACTACACACAAATTGAAACTTTGTGAACTCAAGACTTTTCCATAACTTCACCTTGTACCTCAAAAAGACTTTATTATAAAATTTCCAGAAGTGTTAAAAGGTTAAGATATGTTAAGTGATAGTTAAGACCTGACTATCTCCAGTGGGCTTTCTATCTACACACAAGAGAATTGAAGAAACAGTAAACTTCTGCTTCTGCATTTGATAGGCAAATCATTTTCTTCTGGTTACCTAGTCTGATTACTTCAGTACTATTGTCATAAAATAGACATACAAGAAAAAATATAATCAAACATACACATACTCTTTGCCTTTCGAAAGAGGAGACTTAACATTTTGTGAAGGGCACGAATTTATTTCAATGTCTACATTAATACTTTTTTAAAAAGCTACTCTCAACCACAGGGCCAAAGATGCACAACCCAGTAGCTCTCCTTGCTCCCTGAGCAGCAGCGTGGAGCTGTGCCACCTCCTCTTTCAAAGCCCAGGAGCTGCCATGGCAACAATGCTACAGAAAGCACATCCTCTTCATTAAGTAAGTTAACATTCCAGAGGGGTTAGATCTCTCAGAATAGGCCTATCTACACAATTATTTTAATTATAAATTTCCTGGGGACTTGCATCAGTGAAGTTTATCACATGTCCTTAGTATTTCCCTTAAAAAGTACATTTTATCACAACGAATCCTAACAAAATTGCATGTTGATCACTTTACCTTCAAATAACTTCACTGAATTCTGAAAGACCTAAATTAGCCTCCTAAATATAAGGCTTCAAAAACATATGTGTAACCTTAAAACTTGAGTCTTCAAATACTTTAGTGTATTCAACACATTTTTAAAACTGCAATGCCCAAACACAAAATTGTAACTGAATTTTCAAAAATTGCTACTATTATTTAACATCCTCTATAGTTTAAATGCATTCATCTTTTAAAAAAAACTATATAATGCTTTTAGTGCTGAATATCACTCAGTTTTTAAAATTACTGATTGCATTTAAAAAATAAATTCCTGATAAAATATACCTAAAAAATGCAAACTATCTGCTCTGGGCTAACAATTTATGCAGAGACGTGAGTCAGAAGTCAACATGTTTTCAGCTTTCTAGACTACATCCTGGAGGAGAGAGATCGCTACAAACTCATGTCCTCTCTCTTTGAGAACAATTACAAACACACTGCTGAAACCTGTGGAGACAAGAAAAATGATGGAAATTTTGAAGCTAGATTTGCCTTGCATTGTAAGTGCCAGCTGCTCAACACTGCAGGAACATGGAGGAAAAAGTAGAAGAGTATGTTGCAGGTTCAGAATACATAAAAATGTATAATTAAGTTCTGATTAACTTCTAACTGCTTTATACAAGTACTTTGTAAATAAACAAAGGACACTGTTAGTGTAGCAAGTATAACTTCATCTTTCTTCAAAGAACAGCTGAAGGAAAAGTAGATGGTTTCCTGGAAATTATCTGAAAGAGCAGAAACTACCCTTGTCCACCTACCCATTTTGCTGTTTAATGTCACCCTGGGATCCTCTTCTCTGTCCCTCTGCTAGCTCTTGAGCAGGCTCGGAACACACGCTGGTGACTGTGGGCTGCCGTGGGACATTAACTGCAGATTTACCAGTGTTCAGTGTAGATGAACACTGGTCAGCGCTAAGATTGGCATTAACATGCAGTCCGGATGCAGAGAATGGGGGAGGAGTGACAGCAGCCACAGGTGGAGGGGAAGCATGTGATGAAGTGGTGGCATGGGCTGGGGTGAAGGCTGACGATGGTGATGGGATGGATGTGACTTTTGGTGAAGACACAGAACCAAAGGGCCGAGGAGCTTTATTGTAGGCCGTGTTGGTTGTGGAAGTGACTTTGGATACAGCAGGAGATGTAATGGGCACAGGTTTAACTACTTCTTTAGGTTCACCCTATGCAAAAAAAAATAAACATATACAAAAACACAGCAAATACATGCAAAACACACCGAGTACAAACAAACATGTTGATTTTTAAAAAGACAAACACAATTATGTAAGCAGTGCAAAAACATTTTCAGGAAAAACAAACAGTTGATAAAGCACAGCATGCATGCTAACTGATCTCAACAGCGTAACGAGAATGTACACACTAAACACATTTTCATCTATAAAAATGACAGTTTCAAAATATTTAGGAAATAGAGCAGGAAAATCAGGAGGGGGGAAAAAACCTGAAGGCCATCATTAAATGTCAACTTAGATATATTTTAAAGGAATAATTTTATTCCACATAAACATAATCCTACTAACTGAAACATCTTATTAAAATACACAAAGGCTCAATTATAACTCCATATTTCTAGCATTTTTTCTTTCTCTCCACAGTATAATTACTGAGTCATGAAAATCACCAAGTTTTAAACTCTTCAATTAAAAAAAAAGAATGAGGAATTCACCAAACTCAAAGTATGTGATACACACTAAAGAATTTGGGGGGACAAAACATAAAGCAGGTGAACAAAAAACAATTATCCTGCATCTCTCCTATGATCTACTTCTGTTTCCTCTTCTCGGTGAATTAAGATATTATTCAGGGATAAAATTATTTTTCTTTTTGAAAATAAAATATTTATGTCCCATGAAGAAAAACATATTATATATCTCCTCATTGCTAGGAGCAATGTAAGAAAATGTAAGCAAAGTAAGAAGAGCAATTCCTTCTAAAATTACCAGTGTTGGTAAACCTTTATCTGGACACATTCTAAAAGTCTTCATTAAAATGAGATTAATTTCTACAACACTGGAAAAAAAAAACCCAAAAACTTTCACTCTACCATCCCAAAGGAAATCAGATCTTTAAGAAATATATATTGGTAGCTCAAATGCTTAATTACAAGGGGGGGAGGCCAACATAAATCTTATAAATTTTCATTAATTGAGAAAAATAAGTTAGGGCTGAAACAAGTAAATTAAATGAAAAACTGAATACACTTCCCCCTCACAAAAAAAGGGAGAAAATCTTCAAAGAGAATAAATCAGATGATTAAAAACACTGGTCTGAGGTAATGTGAGCTACATAATGAACATCAGGAGTTGCCAATAACCTAAACCAAGACCACTAATCTAATCCAAAACTAGAATGGCATTTCGTTAACTATTTACTATTGCTTTTTAGAAAATAAATGTGTAAATATAGGAAACTTAAAAGTAGATATGAAAGGAATTTGGACATGCATTAATGGCACTGTAGGGACTTAGAAATAATGTTTTATAGTATTATTACAAATGGTAACTGTGATGGGTATTCTTGGTTGTCAGACTACATCTAGGATTAACTAAAACTCGAATAGAACTAAACACTTTTAATCCAGATTTTTTGAGGTGGAAAGATTTACCTTTAATGTGGGCCAAGCCTGCTGTTGGTATAAAGAACATTGAAAAAGAAAGCTTTCTCATTTTGCCTGCTTGCTCTTGCCTGGCTAGAAAGTCTATATCTTCACTGGCATTAGAGCCACTTCTTCTAGATTCCAGCGCAAACCAAAGACCAGCTGAGAGGTCTAGCATCATGGATTGAGCGGCTACTGGATTCTTAGACGTACTACTGGTAGACAGCCATTGTTGGACAAGCTGGTCTAGAATTACACTCTGTAAGCCATTTGAATAAACCCACTTTCTGTCCATGTACACTTAGATTTATTCTATAAGTGCTGTTCCTCTGGAGAATCCTGACTAACACAGTAACTTTGTAAGATCTGGGTTCTCCTTTCCTCTTTGTCTTTTAAGTAAGAGAATGAGTAAAACTGAGCTCAGACTAAACTCCACGTTAATATGATCCGAGATAAGAACAGCAGTTCTTGATAGACTGAGTCTAGTGATGGCCAACTATAAACATACCTTCTGAACAGCAACAGGCTCAGGTTTGGCTGCAGCGGATGCTCTGGTGGGGAAAGGAAAAAAAAAACCATGAACCATGAACCTCTGGTACTTTAGAAATATTGTCAACAGAATTTTACTATTTATATATTTTGAGATATTAAATTATATACATATATATAATTCAGTTTCATCATTCACAGTATTCTCATTAGTTCATGTAATTAGAAGTCAAATGTCACAAGACCCAATATTCTCATATCTTTCTAGCCCTATAAGCACAAATAAGGCAAAAAGGCACACTCCTGCTTGCAAATATATCTAAGTTCTCAATTCTTCAGCTAAGGCAATCCCCACATTAAAAGGTAAAGTAGCAGGACCTCCTGATCCTTGGCAGTTCTTCAGTAATCCAGCCCAAATCTTGATTTCCAGAAGTAGTTGCCTTTTCTCCTAACATTCATGAGCATATCTACCACTGCTGGGTCTCTTTCTAAAGGTTAACAACTATATTTAGGTTGAACTAAGTCCCTTATTAAGCAATTTACTTTATATTTATACATTTTTTAAGATTCATTTATTTATTATGTACACAACATTCTGCCTCCATGTATGCACCCACACGCCATAAGAGGGCATCAGATCTCATTACAGATGGCTGTGAGCCACTATGTGGTTGCTGGGAATTGAACTCAGGACCTCTGGAAGAGCAGCCAGTACTCTTAACCACTAAGCCATCTCTCCAGCCCCCTATATTTATATTTTTAAACACTTCAACAAATTGATGCATTTGCTAAACATTGATGTTTAATATCAACTTTCAACTTGACAGAATCTAGAATCCCCTAGGAGCATGTCAGTAAGTGATTATCTAGTTTAGGGTAATGGATGGTGGGAAGTGACACCTTAATTATGGGAAGCATCATCCCATGCACCAAAGTCCTAAACCGAATAAATGAGCCAAGTGCAGGAAAATCATCACCCATTTTTCCTGCTTAGATGCAATGTGACCAGCTGTTTCAAGCTCCTGCCACCAGACCTTCCCACTATGACAAATCATGTACCTTCACGCTGTGAGCTAAAATACACCCTTCTTGAAGTAATTTTTCCAGGATAGTGTGCCACAACAGTGAGAAGAGTAACATTAAAGACTGGATTGAATTAATTCACCAGGTTCCATTCAATGGAAGCAATGACCATGTCCTGCCTTTAATCTATATGTCAGTATAGCACCTGGAAGGTAAGGTGTCATCAGCAATGAATGTGCGAGAAAAATATTAAAGAAAGTTTGACAAAACTCCAGGCATGTGACAGCTATTTATATTTCAAGTGGATTGATATTTTAACCTGTTATTATTTTGCACCATGTGACTTTTGGTATGGTGGGCTAAAGAAGGACAACAAATGGTTTGGAGCAAGTATCTCTTAGGAAATAAAAGTATCACTATCTTCATCTTTCAAAACGGGAGCTTCAAAGTTCAAGTAAATTGCTTAGGATTAGAGCTGAGCCCCACACTGTTATATTTTATAGTATGATAACTGTATTAACAATTGAGAAAGCTACTGATATTTTATAGGGCATTTACTTGATTTGAAAGTGTGATTTTTTTTCCTATATTAATAATTGTTGAGAAATTTCTACATGCATATAATGTGTTTTGGTCAAACTGAACCCCCACTCCAATTCCTCCTCTATCTCCCTACTGCAAATTATTTTTTTTAATATACCAGAAGCAATCCTTTCACATTACACCAGCCCAAGGATAAAACATCAAGGTAGAATTCCAAGAATGTAAAAATAGTAGGTAAATACTGATAATTTTACTATATAAAACAGGGGGTTGTTCTATTTAAATAATTAACAGACTACAAATAACCTAGAACAATGTGCCTATCAATAAACAGATGGGCTGGAGTGATGGCTCTGTGGTTAGGAGCATTGCCTGCTCTTCCAAAGGTCCTGAGTTCAATTCCCAGCAACCACATGGTGGCTCACAACCATCTGTAATGAGATCTGGTGCCCTCTTGAGGAAGAGACCTGGACAGTCGTCCTCATCAACTTAGACCACGAAACCCAATATGGACAAGATCAACAAAACCACCATCTACGGGCTGCCCATGCATGCTTCAGCATTGCCAGGGCATAAATTTCATTTTTTCATCATTCATTCAATAAACATATTCTAATAATGAACTCTGATCAACATTTTAGCAGCAGTTGAATTTTCCAATAACACAAATTTAACTATAACAAGTACCAACTGACTAGTCAGCTGGCGTAAGGAAAGGCCCAGTGGATACTAACACTCAGCTGCTGTAGTACAAGTCATATCCTGTACCGCTGCATAACTTTTCATGGGTTCTCAAACAAGTTCTCTTTAGCTTACAGGGTTATTATAACAAAGGGCAAGTTTAAGGGCAGAGCAGTGGAATCTTCCTTTCATTCAAATTTCATAATCCAATTTAATCGCAAAGGATCCAGTCATTAAAACCTCCCAAGACATTACTGAAAGGTTGCCAAGACTGAGAAGCCAATATCCTTTTTCATCTGGATGTCTTAAAGTACATGAAACATGTCTATCAATGTAATTTGTAAATAAAGGTCAACTATACAGCTGGTGTGTAGTTCAGCTTGCCCACTATGGGCAACAAAGGCCCTGGATCCAATCCTCAGCAACACATTAAGCAAGCAAAAATCTACGAACAGTCACAAGGCTGCTGCATTCAAGATAAATACAGATATCTTATATGTATGAAAAGAAATCACTTCATTTGTTCTAGTGTTCCCTCTAACTTAAGTAGTGTTAGCAACGACAAAGGCCCAGAACCGTATTTTCACTGTTTTGTTGTCTCAACAACTTATTCTGCTCAGAATGAATGTTAACATAACTGAAAGCTCTATAAACACAGTATTTGAAAAAAAAAATTGAATTTACAGAAAAAAATTAAATCTGAACACACCCCATTTGCCTTCTGACAAGGTTTCACAAGAAATAAGATAAGCATTTCAGAAAGAATGGCAATACGCCCACAAAATCCCAGGGTGGGTCATTATACAAATACCCTACTGCATGGAAAAATACATTGGCTTATCATTAAATGTCAAACAAAACAGCTGATGGACCACAAAGTGCAATAAAAATCAGCTCCCTTGCTTTAAACACTAACCATAAAATGAACCATAGAATTATTAAATTTTGAAAGAAAAGGTTTCTTATATCCCATTAGTATCATGTGACATCTCTGAATATTTATTGAAGTTCGAAATTTCAGCAAAAGCTTGAAATATTCTGTTAAGCTGGTTATGTTAATATGTTTTACTTTGCTTTTTGAAGTAAATTTGTAAGTTAGGCCAATCTTTAAAATCCTTCTCAAAAAAATTTTTTCATTTTAGTACTGTATGATACAATGCTTCCTACAATATTACTGATGTACTAGAAAACACCCACATTATTATAAACATTTTAGAAAAGTTTCTCTCTAAATGATACTTATTTCTTCTATTTTGTGTGCCTCTTCCCTGATTTACAGAATCAATATGTACTTTTCAGAATAAGAAAAACTTTTTCAAAGTTTATTTCACAGTAAACTACCTTGTAAAAATCTAAACAACGCATTCTACTATGAAAGCTATGTGGGAAACATGAAGGTCCAAGCGACACATCATCTCAATCACAAGCCTGTGGATACTAAGGAAAATACTATGGATTGTCGACTGTACATATTTGAAAGACAGCTTGTTATTCAGGAATAGTTCTCAAGAGCAGAGTTGAGGGTGGGGCTTGGGAAACATCATTTAAAATAAATATTTAAAGAATGAACAGATCTTTGCAATGTCTGAAATGTTTGCTTAAGTCTCCCAGGAGTAGCAGATAAAATTAAGGGAAAGAAATATTACAATGTATAATCATAAAACTTTACAATGCATAATCTAAAACCTTTTGCTTATACAAATTATCTTTCTTGTCTCTCTGGTACTCTCTTGAATTTTGTGTTTAACAAGATACTCAGAATGACTTTCCTAAAGCATAATTTGACCATATTTAAAGAAGAAAATTCCACTTCTGTTTTTATATATATATATATATGAATATATGTATATGTGTGTGTATATATGAATATATGTATTCAGCATTCTCTGCGGATAAAGCCCTAATATGTGAATATGGAAAAACATTTGCCCAAATTAAATTTGTTATAATTATCTTTAAGTTGGACAAACAGTAAGCACTTTCTCCTTTAGCAATGTCACATATTAAATGAAAACGAGTAAATTTAAGACATTTAAACAAATGAATATTTAAAAACTATGGCATAAGGATTTTTTTTAAAAAAAAATCACAAAATACTGCCTCTCCCATCGGACAGCAGGGAAGGCGAGTCACTCCTGTGCAGGGTGAGTTTCCAGTCTGCTGAGGTCCTGGCAATGGCACAGGGCCATGGCTCAACAATTGGCTTATTGTTCTCTCTCCTTAGTGGGAAGCCCTGACAAGAGTAAGCCTGCATGGTGAGATACCAGTGCCTTAGCTCAGTGCTATCGCCGTAATATGGAATTCAAAGAACAAAGCTGTCCCTGTGGCTGGAATAAGCTTTCAAAGTTGTTAGTTTGTTGTTGTTGTTTTGTTTGTTGGTTTTTGTTATTGCTGTATATAGCTTTAACCAGTTTCAGAGCTTCCAGCTTAACAGCTGAAACGAGTTTGCAGTTATAACAAACCTATCAAAAACTAGAATTGTGATGTCCTAGTTAGAATGAAGAACATAAAAGAACAACCATAAGTTAGCAATAGCTCTATCATGGATTAGATATTAAAAAATAATCAGACAAAACTGCAACTCTATACACCCAGGACTTGGAGCTGTACTGAAACCATGTTTGTGTATCTGCTAATACTGCATGACCAAACCATGTACTTTTTATTTAACGAAGCAGGCAGGAAAAACAGAACTATGTGAATAAAAATTAATTTATGTTACTTTTGATAACCAGGAGACTTTTTCAGTCCAATCTAACATTTAACTCATAAATAGCCATGCAGAAAAAAATGAGAGGTCTGGTTCATCTTTTAT